ATTTTGTTTATTCTTTAATTAAATAGTGAAAAATCTATAATAGTTCTCTTTTTTAATTTTGTTTTTATTTTTTTTAATTTTTTTTTTTCTGGTAAGTAAACATCATTTCTTTATTTTTATGATATTAATAAATATACTTGTGAAAGAAACAATATCTCTTGGGTGCAAAAAGCATACAACAAGTTAAATGCTAGCCTGCCTATATATCTATATTTAGCTAATATCGAAAAGAAATTTTAAAACAATATTATATATACTAAATATAGCTGAATAGCAGCTATGCTTACTTACTCATAATTTTTTATTGAATATAAATGAGATGAGAAGTAAATGAAAATTGAGAAAAAAAAGAAAAAAAATTCAATGTTTGATACTATACAAGTAAGAAATATAATAAAACTAGTTATATAACTAAGGATACCTATTCGGCATGCTACTTTGGTAGTTCTATTCTGTTTGAATATATTGAAAAATATATTGCTTCAATTGGTCAGGCTACTGTCCAAAGTATATAGTAGTGATAATAATATATCTTCTTGATAGTTGCTGGTACGTAGTAATGATAATTGATTGATTGAATAGTTATTTGAATATATAGTAGTAACACTAATTATATTATTAAGGATACTTATTTGACGCACCACTCTGGTAGTTCCAATCAGTTTGTGATTGGTCAGACTACTGTCCAAAATATATAATTGTGATAATAATATATATCTTTGATAGTTGATAGTGCTTGGTAGTAGCGATTGATTGGTTAAATAATTGTTTAAATATGATAGGTTTAGGTATAGTAGTTGTTGATTTGCAAAGTTAGAGCTATGTTATTATTTTTTGATTGATGATTAATAAAACATGTTTGTTGTTTTGGTGTTTATTAATAGAATAAGGTCATATGGTTGAATGGATTTCCATTTTTGATATTGTTTATGTTGATCTTTGGCAGGTATAATAAATATGTTTGAATATTTGATAATATGTGATTGATTGAATATAGAATGTTGATCAGTTGCCAGGGGCAAACTGATTGTGATTTTTTGGAAAAAAGTTTTTGAACAAGAATTTTTGATTTTTTGTAGTATAGTAAAATGTATTGAGCAATGGTAGAAGTTGTTTTTTATATATATCAATAGTTCTTCAGGCCAATGATACAAACAAAGTTGATATAAAGTTTGTGTTTTGGAATGAAATAAAGTCCTTCAAGTCAAGAACATAAATATTTAAAGGTGTTTGTGTATTAATAAGAGGTGTTTTAATAAGAAATATAAATGAGAAAAATCCAAAAAAAACTTGTAAAGAAGCAACTGCCATGAGCCTTTCTGTATACAATTCAAGAAAAAGACAAGTTCTCCAAGCTTGCTTACTCCTAATTAGAGGTTCCATCTCAATGCACCAGTATGTTTCTTTAGTTCCTTGAGGTTTTTGATATTGAAAGTTAAAGAGGTGTAGAGGACTTGTGGGTATTGGAAAATAAAAGGAATATTTTCTCTAATTTTGAAAATTACTATAAAAAGAAATTTTTAAGAAAAATATTATATACAGAAAAGAATTTTTTTTTTTTACTTGATTTTTTAATTAATTTTGTTTTTATATATCTTCTTTATTATTATTATTATTATAAACATTTTCCTTATTATTTTTAATATTGTCAAACTTTTAAAATTATATTCAAGTAAAGTATAAATTCTTTTACTTGTTTTAACTAAACTTTTCCAAATGATTTCTATATAGTATATATTATTATATTATTTTAACAATATCAAAATTTTTTTAAACTCAAAAACCAAAATCAACTTAACCTTTTTAAACAATTTATACAATCTCAATGGTTAAACAAACTCTGATACCCCAATATAACAAAAATTAAATTATATTAATTTATTAAAAATAATGACAACAATAATTTATAAAAACTTATCAAATCAAAATAGAACTCCAAAAAAGTACCAAACTGGTATAGAACTGGTATCGAAATAGTATCAATCTATAGTAAATTTAATATATGGGTTGTGACCTATTTATATATTTTTATAGTAAATTTAAATATTGAACTGATATCAAAGTAGTATCATTAGGAGCCCTAAATTAAAACCAAATTTCTGAAAATCTACCATATTAAGAAAATCATTATTATTGTCTAATTTAATTTGACTATTTGCAGATAAATATTAGCTACTTATAAACTATCAATAGTTTGCTATTGCCTATTAGAAATTTTTGTAAACTAGAGGTTTATAATAGATTAGAATTAGATCTATAAATAGTGATATAAGATTCTTAATGTAATAACTATAAACAATTTGTTTAATAAAGATCTTATATTTAATACTTGTTTATAGTAAATATATATATACAGTATATACTGTATTTAAAGAAATATTAAAATAAATTAAAAGAAGATAAAACTCACAATTTAATATATTAAAACTATTGTTTCAAAAATTGGAATTGAACAGAATTGCAGAAAATCACATGAGATTCGAAACACTATTAAAAATAATGGATATACTCCACCTATTAAATTTAATATAAACTTGAGAATCGAATACAGAATCAAAGAAAATCATTAGGATCCTTAATTAAAACTTTCAATTTTCTTTTAACAAATTTTAAAATTACTGTAAAAATAATTTTTCATTTTTAATAATTTAATTTATTAAATATATATTTTGTTTTAAATATAATTAAATAAATTTATATAAATACATAATTCAAAATTATTGTTTTAATCAATTTTATAAATTTGTATTAATATTGGAATCAAAAGATAACAATTTGTAAAAATTGAATTTCAAAAGAAAAACAATAGAAAAACATAAAAAAATAATATGAAATACTAATAATTTTATTAAAAATAATCAAAAGAAAATTACAAGAATTCATAATTGTTCTTTTTCAAATTTAAAAAAAAATACCAATTTTATATTATATTTAAATCAATCGTAGATCACTTTTAATATACTTATTTATAAGTGGTTCATTTATTTATACAAAAGATTGATCAAACAATTATTTGTTATATTTTGAATAATCAATTATTATCTATAAAAGAAAAAGTAAAATTACTCAAAATATGATTAAGACTATTGTTTTTGAGTATTTAACAAAATATGGTTTTCTAATTTTTTTGCAAACAATTATTTAAAACTATAAAAAAGCTTGAAAGCTGGGTTTTTTAAGCTATAATGTTCCAAATTTGTTATACTATTCAAAACTACAATATATAAATATTTTAATAATTTTTTGAGAAAATAATAAATTTTATATAATAAATTATAATAAATAGTAATAAAATATAATAATATATATTTAAAGTTAATAAAATTTTTGATAATTTTAGTAATGCCAGTAACTTAAATAAATATCACAATAAAAGAAACATATTCTAGATAATACTATGGCAAAAAAAAAATTAAAAATATAATTTGTACAAAATATATTATTATTTTACGAATATTAAATTGCAATATAAATACTTTAAACAACATATAATTAAATAGCTTAATTATTGATATTCAAACTTAAATAACCATTGTTATTAATTTTAAAAAACTTAAACTACACAAATAACTCTCTACAGTCTATATAGATAATAATGCCTTAAAGACAACAAAACTATAAAAACTAATATATATATTATAATTTGTAACAATATTTAAATAAAAATAACAAATAATTAATTATATAAATAATTAATAAAAAATTATAGAAAAAACAACAAATATATAGAATTGTAAATATGTATTATAAAATTATTACATATATTTAATATTAATCCAAAAGAACAAAAAATTTTATAATAAAAAAAATCCTAACCCATAAATTATTTTTACAATCAAAATTTTATATCTTTAATAAAGCAAAAAGAATTATAAAAGTATTCTAAATGGAATGCTTATCAGTTTAAAAAAATTCTGAATATTATGTGATAAATTTTTTTAAATAGAAAAAGGAAAATAATTTAATCAAATGGAACAAATAAAAATAAATAACAAATATAATCAAAGAAATATAAACAAAATCAAACAACTTAGAAATCAACTTTATTATGAGTCACATAACTAATAATTGGATAAACTAAGATACATTTTATAATTTTAGACTTTTTATAATAGAAATTAATAGAATTTTAACAATTTAATTAAAAATATATTAATTTTTGGCAATAAGCTATATAGTAAGAAAAATTATTAATGAATTTAAAAAATAGATAAAGTTTCAAATTTGTAGTTACAAATTTTGTAAAATACTTATGCAATATTCAATAAACATGATATAAGCTACTTATTAAAAAAATTACTAAATTTCGAATAATTAATATTGAATTTGAATTTTAAAAAAATTATAGAATAATTATTTTCTCAATATTTAATTTTCTTATTGTTGATTATCTTAATTAAAACCAATAGTGTATACTATAACAAAATTTTTGAAAAACATTAATTCTTATCTTTTGTATAAACTTAATATTCTGCTAATTACAAGTTCAAATTAATATAATTCTTATTATATTTTTTCAAACCAATAATTTTACTAATTTATAATTAACATTACAATTATTTTTAATAAAATCAATCAAAAACATATGTTCTTTCTTTTTTGATAAATTGTTTCTATAATATTTTTATTTTTATTCTTATACAGTAACAGAAATTTAACCTTTAACTAATATAATGTTATATATGAATAATATTAATTTAATAGTTATAATAATATTCATAATTAAGTAATACAAAATTTAATATGCAAGTAATATAAATAAGCAAATAGAACAAAAAAAACTATAGGAATACAATAATTTAAATTATATTTCTTTAAAATATTATCTTTAGTTTTTGGTTTCTTTAGGATACTTAGGACATATGACATATAGCATATGATATATAATATGTAATATCTTCTAGGCAACAAAGTCATTTTAATAAAAGAATTTTATTTTTATTAAATGAATTAGAAAAGTCGTTCATATGTAAGAAAGCATCGGATATTATCATAATTATTTAAATAAAAAAGTGATAAACGTAACCTTTCGCTATTCTGGTGACCAAACCAATAACTATCAATACCGATAACCTAAAACTCAGTCTGATTATTCTATCTCCCTTTGGATCCAAGCTATTGCAGCACTCAGAAAAATCAAAATAACACTCAATCTGTAATTCTACAGTATTTTCCGAATGGATCGATCGGTTGGGTTTAACCTGATAGTAAGTCGGGGTCAAATTAAATGTTATAATATAATCTAGATTGATCTTATACCGACTTTGTGCTAAAATTTTAATGTTACCTTTAGTTTAATGGTCATAACCAAAGAGTGTCGTTTTTCGGGGTTATTTCTTGCGTCATGTATGATTAAAATAAAATATTCTTAAATAAATTTTGATCTGACCGGTTCCAGAACTTGCTAACTTTATCTCATATTTTTTTTCAGAAACATTTCGGCTCGAAATCATAATATTCTAGCAAAGCTTTTGTTTCTCCATTAGTCGTACTAAAGAAGTTAAAGCATATTAGCACTAGGGTAACGCGGTGAGTTTATTGATTAATATTTGAATGATTGTGCACGTACAAGGTCTCCCTCTTTTTATGACGTTACTAAGTTTTATAGTTGCACCTATTATTTTCTTGCTTATTCTAGATCTTTAAATTGCGCAACGTGATACAATAATGTGTTATGCATCTACGTCTCGCTTTCCCACTAGTTGCGCGAAATTATTACTGTAACATGTCAGATATACTCGCACTTAGGAATTTAATGTGTAAATGCTAAATACTTATGTGTTATTCAACTATTTTTGTATAATGCTTAATGAATGGCTAGCATTCTAAGATAGATATCGGTTTTATATTAAACTCTGTCACACTAGCCGAGTATCACCAATATAACGAGGGGAGATTGCAAAAAAACGATTAAGTAATATAAATCATTATGATCGTGTTAGTGTTCCGAATGAGTCAGTCCGGGTCGGATTCGGATTTGACCCGATGTGACTCATTGGATAGTAATTCGGGTTGGGTTATATGTTATGAAATTAAATTACATGAGTAATTTTTTTGTTAGATATTAAACCTCTTTATTTTTAAGTCATTATTATGGCGATTAAGCTTTAGCTTTTGAGACATTTTTTGATCTGGCTGGTTTGGAATACTTGTTAACCTTTTCTCAATCAATTTTTTTATAAACAATTTATTTTCTGTTAGAAATCCCTATTTTCAATTTTTCTGTTAACCTCATTAACAAAATTACAAGTATATTGAATGATCAAGAAACACCATGATTTTATTTAATATTTGTAAGAATATAATAGTCTTTCTCTTTTATATTGGTATTAACTTATACACTATTGACTCTAATATTGTTCTACAAGCAAATCATTCAGAATTACCATGTCAAGATCATGAGCCTTCTGGTAAGCAAGAATCGTTATGAGGGAAAATCAACTAGAAAGATTTTGATACCAGAGCACAAAGGGACACTGTAAAAGATTTATACATAAAAATGAAAAAAGCTCAGAAGGCTACAGAAGCTGAGGAGAAAAAAGACGAAGAGGTGAGATTTGTTTTATATTATCTTTTTTTTTCAAATTGCTTTTACTTGATATTTTTGTTAAATACAATTGTTTTTTTAATACATTAAAAAAGTCTATTGATACTCTAATGCATTTGCGATTACCGAACATTTTGATAGATTATCTTACAGACCACGGACAAAAAGAGACTGAAGAGACATACGAATTGACCTTAGCATTCATTCATCAAAATCTCAGTGATCAAGCTCAAGATATAATTTGAAGTGATGTAGACAACATTCTGCAAATTTTTAAAGTGATTTACTCAAGGATGTTGACAAGAAAGGAGATATTGAAACAGATATTGGTACCATTGCACCAGATAGATTTGCGCAGGTAGCGAATTTGAGAAAAAAACAATAGATTATCATTCTGAGGATGCCATTAATGACAGCAAGATTGAGGATGAACTTGGAGTTACCGTAGTATTTGATAAAGAGGAAAAAAATGAATTTGGAAAATACGAAGTTAAATTCGAAGATGGTGTGAAAGCATTGATAACAGGTGTATTAGGCGTTACCCAAGTTGAGAATGATAAATATAGAGTTTATTCAAATGAAGAAAACGAAGGGCTCCGGACTGTTATTGGTTCAGATACTACTAAATCGAAGGTCACTAGAACATAGGATTTACAAAAATATCTCTGCATGATATTGATGCCTTTTGGCTTCAGTGTCTAATATCAAATGACTATTCAAATCCAGCACCGCACAAGAAAAGACGACGAATACTATACCAATACTTGAATCAGTCAGAAATACCTGTGACTGCGAAAATGAATTAAAGAATTTTTGGATAATAACAGATTCGATCTGGTCAATGTATTGACAAAAAATAGGGATGGTATACAAAACTTGCTAAATCTGGAATAGGAAACGCTAAGTGACAATGTATTGAACATGAAATTTGCGAGCAAGAATTAGAAGAATTCGTCATGGTGATAATGCTGCCCGGAAAGGTATGGTTGAGGATGTAATGGAAATAAATGATAAACATGTGTCAGCACATGGTCCAATTTCCGCTTCTGTCAAGATAGTTTGGATAGCAATACCTAAAGCTGTAATTGATTGATCTCACAAGATTTCTAAAATGTAGAAGATGGTATATACAGTATTTGCTGTGAGTGCAAGCAAATATACATGTTGTTATTTGTTGAGAGGCCAGATGAAGAAAGGTAATGATTATAATGTATTACTATGTTTATTTAAGAAAATATTATTAACTCTATTCTAATTTTGACAAGTCTGATCAAGTTTCTAGCCCGTATATTTGAGATTCGGTTTTTACCTTCAATATTCATGCAGGTATCAAGGAGAATGACACTCCGCAATTCATGACTGAAGACCAGCAAAATGCTAGGAGGGGGGAAACTGGATATTATTTGACGAAGGAAAAACATGTAATAACATTGGTCTCATAACGGACCCAATAGCTCATTTTGTACGATTTTACTGTAAGTTTATGTTTTGCTCTTTATTTATTCAATATATTATGAAATTTTATACATGTTAATAATTATTTAAAATATGTCTAGCTTCAGGTTTAACGGTTATTTCCATTACATCGAATATCGATGAAAAGTGTTATTGGCCTTGAAAAATTCATTATTGCATAAATCTAAAAATCATCAGTAGGTTGGCACACAAAAGTAAGTAAAGTAAAAAAAGTATTAAAAAAAAACATCCTTCGATACCCTGATCTATAATCAATAAAATATTAAAAAATTTTGCTTTTTTTTTTCATAATAAAAAATACTTTTAATAGAGTTACAGTATAAGAATTGTTTAATAAAAAATTATCAAAAATCCCAAACCGATCGAATCTTTTATATTTTTTAAGCTCAGACCGAAAATATTAAACGGGTCAAATGAGTCCAAATGAGTCAAACCCGACCCGAAATGTAAAATTTCAGGTTAGATTGAGTTGAGTTTCGTGTTGACACGACTCATTCGGAACATTAGATCGAGTATTATGTAATCGGAGGAAATCATTAGAAGAACTTTGATAATCGATGTTTGCCATATTTTTAGAATGTAAATCGTTCAACTAAAATGTATAAAAGGATGCAAGTAAAAGAAAATAAAGGATAGGGAATTGTCTTTTTACTCAGTCAAATAGAATACATAAAAATCATTAAATCCCCTACCTCATCGATGGTTACGCGACACTGTCCCACTTTAGCGACATACTCACCGATCGACCTTCACACTGGATAAATAAGAGGCCAATTTTCTGCGAAAAAGCCACTATATAAAAAAATGAGATAATGTTTAAGATGAATAAATTAAAAATGAATTAATAAGAAAATGTATCTACCGTTTGTTGAAATTATATTTATTAGACACTGAAATAGCTTTGGCAGTGGTTGGCGGGAAAGAAAATACTGTCAGAGTGTTAATTAATTGAACTATTTCAAAGTCGGAATCTGATGCAATTTATGCACCTATTTTATCATATTCCCAAAATAACAGTATGTATTAACAAGAAATAAAGTTAAAAGTTAAGATATAAGAGACATTTCGCAAAGTTATAAACTTGCTTGCAAAGCATGCATTGTATATGCGGATCTAAAGCACTAAGCATTGTAACGGTGTAACGGCGAGTCAGTCGCTAACTCTGTAACCGTTACTAGGTAAATAAATGAAAGGATGATTTTAGGCGTGTTTGTATTTGACCGAGTCTTTATTAATTTTCTCACTTCTATCTTTTTCCTTCCTCCGTCTCTCCCTTTACACTTTACATTCTTTTATACTTTACATTTAGCTATGGCGGCTTAAACATAATAATAATTAATGATACAGCGACATGGCTAAAGCTAAATTACATAATTCTTTTCACAATCCTTCCCGTCCTTCCTTTATTACCTAATTATCACAGCCGACTTACCATTGTCACATGTGACTAACGTCGCGTCCCATTTCTCCCTGTTACAGCATATTGTAGCTCATAATCTGTGTTGAATTAATATTTCTCGGCTTTCAAATTCACTCTTAGTCTCTTGACATAAACTTGTTAAACTATAAACTATATGCGTTACGTTTATTATGTCAGCAATATTTAAGGATAATATTAACACGATTATGCATGTACAGTACTTAGCTCAGAAACCTTTATTTTTTATGACACGTGTATCATGTCACCTCGCAAAACAAAAACGAAGAAGAGTAGACAAAAATAATTTATTATGGATCTTAAATATAAAGCACAGACATAAGAACGTGACTTATATTCCATGCTTAAATAACCGGTTCTCAGAAATCCGAATAAATAATATTACTGTACTGTACAAATGATAAAATACTGTAGCCATGTGTAACAATCTATTTGATCAATATAATAAATTTGTTAAAGCTCAACAAATACACGTAATCCCTATCTACTGTATTAACATTGACTATTGTCCTTGTTATTGAGTTTGTTTAAATTATTTTTAATTTCTCGTAGCATATCTGCCTGGATTTTTAACTCATTTTTTTGATTTTTTATGTTTTCATAATTTTCATAATTTCCTTGATTTTTTGTTATATCTTCAACTTCATGTTTCTTCTCATCTATATTATCTTCTTTGCTTATACCAAACGAGTTATCTCTAATCATCCGAATCCATTTTTTCTGGTAATCCTTTTCGGTCAGAGCAACTATTATGTCCGCCATCCTTTCTATCTGGCAATCTAACGTTTTTATAATTTCCTCTACTTTTTTTTTTTCATTTTTAAGTTCAACTATATCTTTTGTTTCTTTTACTAGATTTTCTAACGCTTCTTTTACATAATCTACTCTTCTTTTGATTTTTGCATCAACTCGATTTGCTATTTTTTTTAGATTTTCTAAAACCTCCTCCAAATTTTCCACTTCATTCCATATTTCGCCAAATATCTTATTATAATTCAAGTAAATGGAGAAAAATGTTTTGATATTCTCATGCTTATCATTAAAATGTTCGAAAATTCTAGTTAGTGTGATAGTGGAAATGGAAAAGATGGATTGAGTGATAACAGGTGTATCACTAAGCAAATATCCAGATGAAATTGCAGAATAAATAATAAAAATTGTAAAAATTGTAATCTTAATCCATCTAGAATTAAAAATAAAACGCACGAATAACAAAGGCGTTACTAATAGCATAATCATGTAAGTAAGTATTTGTAAGGCTTTGCATCTATTAAAGCCGTAATTGTCAACACAAAATTTACCGACATGAAAAGTATAAACAGCAGTAAAGTAATTGTTGGTATGATCTTCAGAAACAATCTGAAGATATAAAACGTCTATAAAAATAAACGAAAAGTAGATAGCACAATCAAACTTTTTTATAAACTTATGAGGATTTATCTTTTCTTTTCTCTTCTCCATACCTTTCATAATTCTTAAAGTTTGAATTTGAAAAAATAAACTAACTAAGAAAGTGGAAAAACTAATACACATAAAGACTTTTCCGAACATGGAAAAGCCTTTGAATGCTTTTGTTGCAGGAATAAGAGGTGGCAAAATAAAACTCAAATTTATGATAAAATCATCGAATATATTTATATAAGTTAAATAATGTTTTTTATCATTTTCAAACCCATTATATAAGGCAACCAAAAATAATGGAATAAATGTGGATGTAACAGTTGAAATAGTATCAGAAAATGGATCGTAATCGGTCATTTTGTCAATGTAAAATTTTTTCGCTTTGCAAACGAAGATTTTATCGGATTTTAGAATGCATTTTTTGGCCCTGTTTAAATAAAGTATTTAACTATTACTGTACAACAGATCTTAAATAACACAAATACTGTGAAGTGTGCATTCGAATTAAATTTCCTAATTACTATAATAGCAAATGGCACAGTACAATATTCGGATTTTCTTTTTAAAGCAATGTTAAATAATACTAGTGTGGTTATACAGTATAGTACTGTATCGATAATTTTCATCACACGATTCCCTAAAATTAGCCATATTAATTGATGATAGTAGGCAAAACAGCAGAAAATTTATAAAGACATGGAGGGTGTTCTCCGTACATATTTGCACAGTCCGTACTGTAATAATTATATATTTCCGGAGTAATATGCCGGAATATAGAAAATTCGGAAATTGTAAGCCGTAAATTTTAGAAAAGTTTCGGAGTTTAATCTTGGAGTTTGGTTTTGGAATTTGAAATAAAGAAAATAAGTAAATGATTTTAGATAATAAAGCAAATGATTTTAGATTATAAAGTAAATAAATAGAATAAATTAAAATAAAAAATTAATTAGTTAATTAATAGAATTTAGGTAACAAAGTAAATAAATTTAGATAGCAAAGTAAATAAATTTGGGTAATTATTTTTGAAGGCGGACCGGAAATTTTCTAATGGGATCCTGAAATTTATACTATATATGTGTTGTTAGAATTTTAAAAATTATTATAATAATAAAGTTTTTAATATAAAAAATAATTATAATTATAAAGTTTTTAATATAAAAAATAATTATAACAATCAAATTATAAGTCTTAATCAAGAATATTCTGAAAAAGAATTTTTATTTAAAACAAAAAATAAACAAATAATT